TGTTTCTTATCCCAGTCCCAAGGTTTAGTTGTGAGAGTAAAGATGTGCATTTAGTGCATGTCTGGACAGTATATTAAAAAAATTCTTCATGTACTAGATGATACTGCACACTGATTGCAAGTGTTATTCTTTCCTTCTCTGCAGGCTCAGCATGGGTGATTCTAACTCGCTCTTTTGTGGAATACTGCATATGGGGGTGGGATAACTTTCCCCGAACAATCCTCATGTACTATACAAATTTCATCTCGTCCCCAGAAGGATATTTTCACACTGTAATTTGCAATACTGAAGAGTTCCGTAACACTGCTATAGGTCACGATCTCCACTACATTGCTTGGGACAGTCCTCCTAAGCAGCACCCACGTTCATTAACAATCAAGGATTTTGATAAAATGGTAAACAGCAGTGCCTCCTTCGCTCGGAAATTTCACAAGGAAGATCCAGTTTTAGACAAGATCGACAAAGAGTTGCTTGGTCGAACAAATCGTTTTGCACCAGGAGCCTGGTGTGTTGGAAGCTCGGAAAATGGGGCCGATCCTTGTTTCTTGCGAGGTAACAGTTCAGTCTTTAAGCCTGGTCCTGGTGCTGAGAGGTTGCGACAGCTAATTGGGAATCTGCTATCTGAAGATTTTCGTAGTAAGCAGTGCCATACACAATGAGGAAACTCCCAGCTCTTGAAGGTAATGGCTTTTTGAGAAGCTGTTTGCAATTTTTCTCAGCGAGTAGTGTTCTCTCACAGGTTTAAGTTTGGATAGGTCAACTGTAAATTACTTTATATTAATAGAATGCAGCATCAATGCCCAAAATTTCAGATTTCAATTTTTTTTTTCCATAGCATATTGAGAGAACATGTGGATGTTCAATCTAGCAGTGTCTGAACTAGGATTTCTCGTTTGGGGGTGGTCAAAGGTGCGATGGTAGCTAACAGATAACGGCATTTGAAGAAAACAATAAGGACCATGCTATGTGTACAACCCATGAATATTTATTGTGTGTGGGCCTCCCTCCATGTGAGGATGGTGTAAGGCCGTGTGTACACCATTGTGTACACATAGCATTATTCAAACAATAAAGCTACCTATTTCATTTGAAAACTCCGTTAATAAAAATTAAAAGTAATGAACTTTGGGCCAACCATGCAAAGGATCTAAAGGTTGATGAAATTAAGTAAAAAGGACAAACATGCAAAGGATCTAAAGGTTGAAGAGTGGAAAGCACAATTTAAAGATTGTATATTTATTTGTTATAAATGATAAAGATGAGGGACTAATTATGCAAATATTCCAAAATAAAGGGGAAATAACAGCCGACACCACCAAGATTCTAGACCTTCTCTGTTTGACCACAATATCTTAATTTTTTTTTCCAAACTCATTTTTAATTATACATTTCATAAAATTTATAACATTATCAATTTCTTAATCATATATTCTATAATTTTTATTAAAATTTATTAAAAATATGATATCGTTAAATTATATAAAAATTTTACGATTGTTAATTTACACTGATTCATAATTTTTTCAACTAATTTTAAAAAACTTCTCCACTATTTTTGACACTTCATTTGTATGTAAATCATATATAATTCCATTACGTGCAAGCAGTATTATTCAAAATTTTAACCCTCTAAATTTAAAGATGCTATATATAAGACATTGTTTGGTAAAAATTAAAATTCAGATTTTAATTTAAATCTGAATCAACGATAAATTTTAACCATATATTTTAGATGATTCACAACTTTTGAACGACACATTTTATAAACTTTTATCAAAATTTATAGCCCATATTTGATACACATTATTTCAAAATTTACTTTCAACCACATATTTTTTAATAAAATAATATTTTGTATCACACAAATAACTTTTAAAATATATTTTTTTCTCGATAATATTCATCAAATACACTACAAAAATCTTATTTTAATTCCCTGAGCCTAATTTCCTCGAAGCCGAACGACTGATATGGTTGCAATGTTAGGGTCCCACCACCCACTCGTTCTGGTTGACTCTTGATTCCAACTACCGATCAATGAGTAAAGAATTTTCATTTCTTTCACATAATCTTTCTGAGACAGATTTCCTTTGACAAGTGCTGAGTTCTCCAACTCTTCATTCTCACAATCACTTGGTTAGCAAAACAGGTTATCATTTCGACTTTCCAGCCCTATATAGTATACATAGGATCTGATTCAGGGGCGTAGATTTACGAGTATTAAGTTCAATTGCTGTTATACATGGAGTTGGAGTTGTTTGTTCAATAACTGTTGATTCTTTTGGCGTAGATTATTCTGTTTTTGTTCAGGATAACTTCATATTATTTTTAGAATTAGAAGTATTGTTTCCCTACGATTTAATTGGATGTTAGAAAATAATAGTGTAATGTAGACAATTCTTTTGCAAAGGAGGTAGTCCTCCTAATTTATGCTGTGAATTTGCTCTTACTCCTCTTTTTGTGTTTCTGGAGGTAAGCTTTTATGTTTGACCATATCTTTGATTTTTTGTTTAAAGGTGAAAAGATCAATTTAACCTTTTTGAAAAATGAATTCATCGTTTCTGCCATTTTTTTTCCTCGTAAAGACATGCCGTACTCGACTAGTTAGGCGTGTAAGTTGAGCTACCAACCTGATGGTTGTTGCTAATTCAGGTGGTGTTACGTACCCCAGTGGGATATTGTGCAGAAATTGAAGGGTGTTGGTAAGAGGAGAGCGTGCATGTTTGTAGAGGTGTGAAGTAATGGGAAAAGACTTGGTTTATAGAACCAGCGAGAAAACATTAAAACAGATTCAAAAATGAAGGAGAAATATCTTCAAATGAGAATGCTTGGTGGTATTTTCTTATTATCAATGCACATTGCTCCAAGTGGCGTAGGATGCATAAAATTATAGGAGAAGGGGAAAGGGGAGAGAGAGGAGAAATAATAGCAAAAAAGAAGAAGATGGGAAGATAGGAGGAGGGAGATAGAAAGGAAGAATAATTAGATAGATGGATGAGAAATTGGGGGAAAAACTATCAATTTTTATTCATATCAAAGTTGTGTCTATGACAATGCATAATCTCTCTGTACATAGAGCAACTAATTTAAAATTAAAGAACTTCTAATAAGCTAGAACATTGTCTAAATATTAGAACTAATCTAATCTAATTTAAAACAAAAATAATATGAATTAAACTATATTGTAATAATATCTAAATTTTATCTTTATTCTATTTCTATCTCCATCATTTGCCTCTAACAAGTGGAGAGAGAACAGTACTAGAGGAGAAAATTATACTGGTGAATAATAGAAGGATATTTTAGGATTTCTCTAAAGAAAGACATTTGTTTTAAACAATTGTAGGGACTATAATTTCAACATCATTGAACACCCAAATCATTGTCTACATAGACTACATTATTCAGAAACCCTAGTAGTATTTATACTTTCCTATCAAAAAAGAAAAATGATCAAAATAATACAAACAGAGAATTTTCTAATTTATTAATAACGGTTATAGAAAGAATAATAATTTAAGTACAAAAGAAAATGTATAAAAATATAGAACACAATCTGTTATCTTTTCTATGCCTAATATAAGTGCAATATTCTTGGCATATTTCTAATGCTAATTCCGTGAAATTCTCCTTTTTCTTTTTTCTTTTTGATAAATAATTAGAAAATTTTATTAATCAAAAAAGAATACATAGGAAGTGTATTATCAGTTTAAACAAGAAAGAAAAGATATGAAGATAGGCAGCCCCTCTATAGGATTACCCAAAACATAAAACGTCAGTTTAAAATATTTCTGATTTTAATTTCCTTAAACTGTGCAATGTTCTACTTTCCCTCTATGTTCAACGCCCAAAACTTTTATGAGATCTTATAAATACCCTACATTTTCCANGGTTGTTCCTTTCCCTCCACACACAACATACAATGTATCACGGGATAAGATTCCATGCGAGCTTGCTATCCTTATCACGAAGTTTCCTCCTCCATGCCCGCAACACGTCCTCTATACATCTAGGCAACACCCAATCTATATGTTGAGAAGCCAGAATACTATTCTACAGCCAACGGACACCGTCACAGTGAATGAACAAGTGGTCATGCGTCTCCCAATCGCTCCTACACATATAGCACCACTTGATAACATAAAAGCCTTTTTTCGAAGATTATCCATCGTTAATGCTTGTCCCCTCACAACCATCTACAGTAAAAATGCCACCCGTGGGGGCAATTTGCAATGCCACACCATCATCCAAGGGAATGATCTCTCCACAGGTCCCAAGAGGGATCTAAAATAAGAGCGAACTGAGAAAATACCATTCCGTGCCAGCCTCCATCCACTACGATCATCCTCTTCTACCTGAATTTGCACCTCATACAAGTCCGTTAGAAATAATGCATAGTCATCCAATTCCCAATCCTGCAAACCCCTCTGAAAAGTGATATTTCAACTATAATTCCCATTGTTGGTGGCTAAAATGTCATTCACCATAGCAAAAGGCATCATAGTAATGTGATGCAAGGAAGGAAATCTCAACTTTAGCGATATATCTCCACACCAACAATCATCCCAAAATTTGATATTATTACCGTTCCCCACCATAAAAGTCAAGATATTCACCCCGTAAGACCCACGACCCTCACCTGAACACCATCCCCCTCAATCACACTATACTTTGCCCCAATAATTCCTCTCCACACCAAACCGCCACAGCCATTTGCCTAATAATGCCTTATTAAACAAAGTAAGCCTCCTCAATTCGAGACCCCCCATCCTCGTAGGAGAGCAGACTTCCCCACTTAACCAAATGAAGTTTCCTCTCCTCTCCCAACCCTTCCCAAAGAAATTCCCTTTAAACAAAGTAAACCTCCTCAATCCGAAACCCCCCATCCTCATAGCGATTTCTTTTTTCACTTTATTGAATGTTTTTTAAAACAAATTGTACACTTTAATTAGAAGTACAAGTTTCATCTAGTAGAAATTGTTACCTTAATGAGATTGAAAATGCTAGGGTCAAACCATAGAGTTTCTACAGCGCTCTTCAACAACGCAGCAGCAGCAACAGCTAATCTACTCATAGCTCTGACGCGTTCAGCATGGGCGAAGGCTCAAGTAAGACTATCCATTCAGAGATGGATTGCTTCAACTAATTTCGACACTACAAGATTTTTGTTGGGATATTGACTGAACTGATCATGGTGTTCAGACATGATAGTAGAGGCATGTCTCACAGAATTTTGCGGTAGTATCATCTCGGTGGATCAGCAACAAACATGGTGGCGACTGGCGATCATCATCACAGTGGTTGCACATGAGGATGTTTCTAAAGGTGGTTGTCGATAGGATATGAATGTAGGGTGCAAACCGGTTGATGCGAGTTAGATGACCAACACTGACATTTGGTGGTGCGGTGTGTAAGCTCGCAAGAATGAATATTTTGGCTTCGCATGTGTTGCATATGTGGTCAAGGGCTGAGATGTACGAGGGGATGGATTGACTATGTTTAGGAAAAGAATAGGAAACCCAAACATAATCGTTCTCTGATCTTCTCCCACTCTGAACCTCTTGGCTTACCTTTAAAAGGCTACTAATTATTGAATGACAAAAATTACTACACCGAAAATCAATTAAAGTAAATCACAGTATGTTTTATTTTTACTCCTAAATTAAATGCATATTTATGGCATGTTTCTGATGTCAATTCCATCAAAATCTCTATCTTGGATCCTTTATCTGCGTCCAATACGTAACTTAATGTGAATTGATTACTTTTTCAGTCGGTTCTTATATTTGGCTTCTTTTCTGCTCTTGGCAGATACAGGCTATGGAAATTGTTGGTGCTGTTGCAAACCTATTTCAACTTTTCTGTGGACAGTGCTGTTCAAATGATTCAATCTCTGAGCAATGCAGGTATCTGAGAAAACCTCAAGCTGTATTACAGATATTGGAAGAAAACTTAAAGTTACTTGCTGCTCGAGAAGCTGATGTAAAAAAAATGTTACACTTGGGAAAGGTGTTGAGTGGGATGGATCCCACAGCTGAAGTAAATTTGTGGCTAGAAAATGTGCAGAAGATGAAAACTATCATGGCTAGTTTGGGAAAGGAAATTCAAGATAATAAAAACTGTTTATGTGGATGTTTTCCAAACTATTACCGTAGGATGAAGTTGGGGAACTCTGTTACAAAAAAGATGAACGAGGTTCATAAGCTCCTTGATGATAACAAATTTTCAGACAGTTCATTGGTTAATAAGGTACCGGAGAGAGGAAAGACATTGCCGGTAACTACGTTAGTAGGGGAGACTGCCAAAAGCATTTTGCTGAGAACTTGGGAGTACGTGATGGATGAAAATATTGGAATTATTGGTATTTATGGGATGGGAGGAGTGGGGAAAACATCCATCGTTAAAGAAATCAATAATCAACTGTTAAGCAAAATTGCACTCTTCGATAATGTTATTTGGGTAACAGCATCCAAGGATTCAAATCTGCAAAAGCTACAGAAGGGTATTGCAAACGAAATAGGTTTATCTTTTGGTGATGAAGATAGTGAACATAAAAGGGCTAGTAAACTATATGAAGCTTTTCTAAGAAGAGGTAGGTTTTTTCTCATGCTTGATGATTTGTGGGAAGCATTTTCTCTAGAGGAAATAGGAATTCCTAACCCAACAAATGTAAATGGTTGCAAATTGTTAATAACTACCAGGTCATCTAATGTATGCCATTCCATGGAAACAGTAAAAGAGATTGAAGTTCGCGTGCTTTCCATGGAAGAAGCATGGGACTTGTTTAAACAAAAGGTTGGTGAAGAGGTGCTCACGTCCCCAAGAATACAACATCTTGCTAAGGACGTTGTGAAAGAATGCGCTGGTCTACCACTAGCAATCATTACAGTTGGAAGGGCTTTAAGAAAAGAGAACAGCATTAGACAGTGGCAGACTGCATTAAGTGAATTGAGGAACTCAACTGCTAATATCGAAGGAGTAGATAATCAGGTGTTTTCACGTTTGAGATTTAGCTATGACAGACTGAAAGATGATATGACTCGATCATGTTTTCTGTACTGTGCATTATACCCAGAGGATCACATCATTGAAGTGGAAGAGTTGATAAAATACTGGTTATGGGAAGGCTTATTGGGTAGTTTCGGGAGTCAAATGGTTAAGATGCGACTGGGTAAAATAATTGTAAATGAGCTAAAAAGTGCTTGTATGATTGAGGGTGTCTATCAAGATGGAAATACTGATGAATATGTGAAGATGCATGATGTAATTAGGGATATGGTGATTGCACTTACTAGAGCAAACTCAAGTTTTATGATTAAAGCTGGACTTGGTTTACAATTGCCACCAGTGGAGAATGAATGGCCTCCGGATCTTGAGAGAGTGTCACTAATGCGAAATGATTTGAGTTGTTTAAGTCGTGAACCAAAATGTCCTAAGCTTTGCACGCTTCTATTGCAGTACAATTCTATTAACAAAGAAATACATCATTCTTTCTTTCATCACATGCAAAACCTCAAAGTTCTGGACTTATCTTTCACTGGAGTTGACAGTTTACCCATATCACTATCCAATCTGGCTAGCCTTCGTGCATTACTGTTACGCAGTTGTTGGAACCTGTCCTATGTACCAACTCTAGCAAAGCTCAAGGAGCTAAGGGTTTTGGACCTCTCTTACACATCAATTGAGCACTTGCCAGAAGGGATGGATATGTTGATTAACCTTCAATATCTTGACCTCTCCTATACTGGAGCTCATGAAATTCCAGTACTTCGTTTCCGCGAATACAAGTTCCTGGAGAGCCTCTTTATAAACGGTCTAATATTTAGTCAGGAACCGAACTTTGTTGATGCTCTGGTAAACTGCAGCAGTTTGGCAGTACTTGAAGCAAATTTCAGCACCATGCAAGAATTTGACAAGTACATAGCATCAGGTCACTGGAATATGCTAGAGAATTTTAGATTTGTCATAGGTCATCCCCCGTACTCCACTCACATGGGGACTGATAGTGTCAGATTCTTTGGAGTTCATATCTACGAAAGACCAAGTCCTGATTGGTTGCCAAGAGGGATTCTTGAGTTAGAAATCAATGATTGTACAGGTATTACTCACCTACCAGTCTGTATAACTGCTGCAGCTTCTCAATTACAACACTGTAGGATAAACTATTGTGATGAGATGGAATGGATTATAACAACTGAATGGATCACCTTTCCCAACCTTGAGTGGTTGGAGATTGAGGGTTTGAGGAAGTTAAGTAGACTCTGCAAAGGAATAACACCAGTAGGCACTCTTGCAAGCCTTAGAATATTGCATGTCACAGCATGTAATGATTTGAAGACACTCCTTCCACTTGAGTTGGTTCAGCATCTAAGGAACCTTGAAGAAATCACAATTCAAAATTGTGACAAAATGATGGAGATAATAGCAGAAGGAGAAGAGAATCAAGGGGTGACAGAAGTTAACAATGCAAAAATCGACCTCCCAAGATTACAAAAATTGAAACTAAGGTCTTTGCCAGAACTAAAGCACATATTCAATGGAATAATGACTTGTGATTCCTTATCCAGCATTGAAGTTTACAGATGCAAAGAACTGAAAATGCTTCCATTTTTTGTGGAAATCAGGCAGCAGTTACTGCATTCTCTCAAACAGATAAAAGGAAGCAGGTGGTGGTGGCAGGCCCTAACAGAGAACCATGAAGATTCACTTAACCTTTTGTATCCGGTCTTCAAAGAAGAACTAGAGATCCATAGTTTGGGAGAAGAAAATGCAGAGAACCCTAGTTTGGAAGAAGAAGATACCCATTCCATACACAGCGTGTCGTCAATAGCTTCTTCATATGGTCCGAGATAATGAGTTTAAACATGAGTTTCTGTAAGTATAAATATTGAACTTTAAACATTACAAATTATCATTACATTGTGTCTTCAATTATCTAATTGTTTATAAGTGTCCATTGTTTCGTTCAAATTTATATGATTCATCAAATATTGACAGAAGTAGCAGAGTCCAATACTCAGTTGACAGCAGTTCAACATGGAAGAGCTTTCTTGGCAAACATAAATGAACAAAACCAGGTAATAATATCATACTTTCTTTCTCAATTTTCAAGTTATCATGCTCTAATTCTTGTATTTTTCAAATTGCAGCATAATCCTTCTCCTTGCTCTGTAAGTTATCCCAATTTTATCCTTTGCCTATCCCAGCGCAAAGATTTTGCGGTTAATAGCAGTGATATGCTGATATTTATCTTGTTGTCAAAACAATGAATGAACCAAAATGCAGAGTAAATTTCTGGGTGACTTGAACGAAGTTAACAATAGTGTAAATGCATCTCATTCCAGTATTGTTCCTTGATCTCTTAGCTTTCAAAGAGGTTGTGTTAATTCTTTCGGAAGTTGTTATATGCTACTTTATAGAAAAACAGAACATAAATCATCGATCCGCACAGGGTAGTGATGAGGATGAAGTTGATGAAGAGTAGAAAGCACATCGTTTATTTGCAGCCTTAGAACATCAAATGTGTGCAGTTATATTACTGTGACAGTTTTCATATCTCATAGATTAAAATGTAATAGTATAAGATAGAAAACAAAGATAGAGGAGATTATCCAAGTGTATCCAAGTGAGCCTCTTTATTTTTAATTCATTAGTTGAGAATGAATCAATTCTTTTCAAATTTGATTTGAACCTACAACCTATTGTTTAACAGCCAACCATTCATCCACTTGAGGAATAATGCGAGATTATATATATTCTTGCTATTTTAATGACCAATACTCAAAAGTTCTTTATAGTGGCTCTCCCGTATCTCGGTTTGAGGAAACCTCAAAGCGGCTTTATTTCATCATTATTTTCCATTAACATCCTAATGTTATTCATTTAATACCCCATTGATGTTATTAACATACGTATTTTTTTTCTAGTCTAGCATTAGATTTGTATCTAAAATTGGTCTTCTCAACAGAGACCAGTTTTATATTCCTTTCAGCGATCACTTCAGATGCATGTTAATAAAGCAGGCCTTCTCAATTTCCATGCATTCTTGGGCTACCACCCACTTACTGGTGTTGAAATTAAATCAATTTTAACAAGCAAATCAAGTGCCAAATCAATATACAAATGAACATTGATGCTTTGTGCAGGGTGTCTCCATAATGTAAGCAGCAGGTGTGCAACATAATGGTTTGGGGTAGCCGGGTAGGTCATTCGGGACCATTGGTGTGTGGTAGCGGCGTGAGCATAACATATCATGGGGGTTTTCACCGGAGGATGTGGAGGCATTTGCATTCTGCGAAGGTCTTTCCCTAGCCAAGAATCACAACTTACAGATTTCAGCAATGGAGAGCGACGAGGTTAATCCAAAAACTAAAATCGGACTTTAGCTTTACTGGGGATGCTTTGATTTCATTTGATATTGTAGCTTTATTGAAAGATGTATATTATGGGAATAAGGTGGCCAGCAAATTGCAACTGATCTACATTGACTTGCAGTGTGAGCTGATATTTTGAAGTGTTGATGCAGTGCATTATGCTCAATGCAGGATGCAAGCTTTACACACTGATTAGTGACTTCAACTATAATTAGCCTTATAATTAGCCTTTTCCTTTACTTCATCCTTCAGCATTTCTTTTCACATGGCTGATTAATGAGAAAAGTCAGAAATTTTGCTTAAGCCTTCAAAAAGTTAAAAAGCTACCTACACTAGCGATAAAATCTTCACAAACAGTACTTCAATTCACCAATCAAGGTTCATCTCATATGGTGATTGTGGACTCGCATAAGTATATTGAGTAAAATGTTGATGTATCAAACTCGATACTATCTCTCGAGTGCGGTGCACAGAGAACTGGCTTATGTCCTTAAAATTGACTTACTCATGGAAGTTGGAACCTTCTGGTCGCCCAGTGACCTCAAAATTTAATTTGAATTTACAATGTTCACTTTTGAAGGAATTGATACACGAACTATTAAGCAACCATTCGTCTTGAATTAATTGTTTAATTATTTGTATAATATGTTCAACTGTGTTGCAAGTTTCCAGGGTATGGACTCCACGAATTTTCCATGCCCTAGAAACTTGCGTTCCATTTTTTTATGAAGTGAGTGCAATCCATACCCTATAAAGGTCTGAAAGCTCCACTCAAAATCACTGTTTACATTTATTTTGTAGTTCTCTTACCTTAGGCATCAGAGGATAATAGGGGGCATGCCCTCGCCTTCGCCCTCGATAAATTAGGCGGAGGCTGATTGCACGACAACATGCTTAAGACGACATAAATTACAAAAAGGAAAATGATACATTTGGAAGCTACGGGCAGAAAATATAACAGGTGATAAGAACTACATACATAGTTCAAACGAGTCGCTGAAAATCTGTTGCTAAACTTAAAATATAAATGTCTGCAATGTCACCTAATTAATGATGATGTCAAAAAGTAGTGATGAAAGATTGGAAAAACTTGCAAGAGGCAACAATACATTCGAAAATTCTTGATTTCTGAAATCCCAGCGAGGTTTCTTTGACTCTCGAAACTTTAATTTTTCTACAGATGAAGCAAAAATTGTGACCAAATTGGGAAAAGGAGGAGGAGAATGGCCGCTATGATGAGGAGAATGGCTATACAAGTGCATTTTCTTGAGCTTTTCTGGTACTCTCTGGCTTCCTGCAAATTCTCGGTGCCTCGCCTAACAAAAGAGCTCGCATGCGCCACATGGCTTTCGATGTCATTTAATTGCTGCCCTTGTGCTTCAACAAGTGCAGCCATGTCTAAGAAAATCTGATGAAGTTCGATCAAATTCTTCTCGATCTCCTTCACAGCATCATGTCTTTCTTGAATTTCTGAAATCGTGTCGAGAATCTGGCCACGCCCTTGTTCTTGAATAGCCTTCTGAAGGAATGTTTCGCTTTCACCACTCGATATCAAATTCTCGATCAAATCTTCATTCGCTTTTTCCCCGGTTATGGTGAAATATCTCCTGCCAACAGTCTCTTTGTATTCTGCATTCATCCTTGCCCTCAAACCCTGAAAATCATCCATCATGACTTTCAGTTTTTTGCCTAATCCGCTAACTACAGAAGTCCTTGTTCGATCAGCAGAGGAACCCGGACCGCAACCTGGGATCTTCCTTTGAGCTGCATTGGAACGTTCAAGTGCTTCAAGCTTTCCTTTGATAACCTTAACCCGTTTAAGAACCTGGGCTACATCAGAATCCATTTTGGACCGCAATTCTTTCATGGTTTTAGCATTGTGAACGATTTTGCTTTCTTCATTTGATTCTTGTAGCCTCTTGTAGAGTTTCTCTACATCACTCATGTCTTTTTTGACATTCTCTACATCTTCGAAAAATCTATCGAGATTGACAGACTCATTTCCACCAGCTTCAAGGTCATCCATTTGAACCTGATCCTTCAGGTCTTGGTATTTTTTAAACGAATTTGAGAAAAGATCGTTCATTTTTTGCGCCCTTTTGGTACAAATTTAATTCCCGGCGGCGGTGGCGTGGGATATGCCTTTGTCCCAAACTTTCCTTCTCTCCCTGCACTTTTGGCTTTCAAAGACTATGTAGGTATTGGAGGAAGAAGAAAATGTGACAAAAGCAAAATTTTCATTAAGAATTTAACCCAATTCAAGTTCTGTAAATAAAATAACAAAATTATAAGAGTTAATAAGTGCCAGTTACCTAAGGAGGAGCGATAAGAGAGGAGAATACGATACAATGGCTGGCTGGTTGATTCTCTATTTTTGGTCTTCACGATTTCACACAATATAGATTGATTGAGGGTCAAGAAACCCACCATCAAATGTTAAGCACACATTTATATTTAAATTCTTGGCCTTGAGTTAAAACCCACTCATGTGATATGCATCTGCACATCAATATTGATAGGTTAAAAAGAATTTCTTGATAAAAATAATTTTTTTTGTCAAATGTTACATATTACTTACCAGTAAGAAATCGTATTCACTAATGTACGACAAGACAATCGATCATGTATTACTTATTGGATCCCTCGTATTACTCGAGTTTTTGTCTACCATTATAAGTTGCTGTTGTAGATGACATGGTGAGATTACAGCAGAATAATTTATAGTTGTGTGTACATAAATACTGATAATTATATATAATAAAAGGTGTGTTGAATATGAAGAGATTGATTGTCTCACAGCACTTGACGAGTAAAAAGTTTCATTACTCACTCAACTTTACCCACTGTCATGTTATAGTCACTGAACTTCATTTTATGTTTGAACACTAACTGAACTCACATGAAGTGAGCTCCATCCGTCACTCCAAGAACATCCGTTTGAAGTCGTCTGAGCTGGCATAATGGCGTCCTCGGTGGCAAGAGACGGCGTGAAAACTCAGCCACATGAAGAAGCGTTATATAGTGAAAGGCGAGTTTACGCTGTGTAGATGAAAACAAAACCTTCAATTGAAAGAGCCCTATTTTACTCCCACTGAAATCGAACCATTGAAGAACCCTAGAAATCAAGTTCCCAAAACCCAAATTCAATTGAAGGCTGAAAATCACCCAAATTTCCACCTAATTTGAGCTGTGAAAGAGGAATATCTAGAAGCCCAACTACTTCCACTACTATGACTGATGGGTCGGGAAGAGTGGTGCTAATGTGCAATTGTTTGTAGTTACCTTCACAGTGAAAGGGAGTGTCGATTTGCACATGGAGGCAGCAGACGGAGGTAAAGAGCTACCCTTTAATTCATGAAGTAATTGTTAAAAATCATTTTGGATGTCTGGTAAAGATCCCACACATCTGCTTTTCGTTTTTCTTTGACACTGGTGGAAGAAGACGTTTTCTGTTAGTTAAGTTATCTTGCCCCTGAGGTTTGTTTTCTGTTAGTCAAGTTTCCTAATTGATTACGGTCCAGCAAGGCTTAATTGAACTTGTTGATACCGACCTCGGAGGTCGTTAAGCTCGGACCGGTATATTCCAATAAAAGTACAAAAACGCGAGCTCGGTGGTACGAGGTCAGGGCGGTTGCGAATAACTTACTCAACAAGCTATTGTAGTCTTTCAAGGCACAACAGTAACTAATGATTACAGATCGCTGACAAGATCTTCGAGTTACCAATCAGGAGAACACACGTGTAAAGGTCCTATGTCGGTGCCGACCTAGTCTCCCAATCAGACGTCTTAGCTTGCCTAGCTAAGACTATGCATTTATTGCTGGAACCCGCTTGTCCCATCACCTCACGATCAACGGGACAGGATTGAGCTCGGACGCCAATCTTGTTGCGCCAACGCATGACCTAGCTCAGCTCGGTTTTCTGTGTTGACGAAATAGGAGTACTAGGCGTCAGTATATTTCTCCTATAAAAGGGTCCAGGATGCAAATAAAAAGGGGATGACAAAAATCTTAGGAAAAACACCAAGAAAACTCATTGTAACACTTTGAATATCTCTTACAACTTGTAAAGTAATATTATTGCTTTATGATGATAGGAATCTCTTCCACTTGTTTCCCTTGGATGATCATTTGTATATTAAGTTGGCTCTAATTTTGTCCACTCAATTTTGAACGTCAACAGAACTTATACTTGAAATCAAGGTCTTCTATATGCTATAGGAGAATTGATGCCGTAACTGTAAGTACAGTTGATACCTGTAGCAGGCCTTTGCTAATGTTTGAATGTGGATAACATCGGTGACAAAATTTTAAGGGCGGACTCAGATTCTTGTGGTGATCTTTTTAGCGATTAAATTCACATGTAGACATAGTGACTTGCATTACATGTTGGATACCTGGATCTTCATTGGTCTTTTGAGATCGATGATCTTTCTTTGATGACTTGTGGAGAATTGCTTTAACCTTCATCCTCTTTAGATGAAATAGATTCCTTTTAGCATTGATTGTTGTCAACATTTTTGTCTGAAAGTGTGCTTTAGTCAACAAGAGAATTGCATAATCTTTGTTAATTGAAAAGCAGTATCTTATATTCTTTTATTAGGCTTTATTAATGTGAGAATTGAGATTTATGCAGAGGTAAATAATTTCATTGTTTTCAATTTGTTGACAGATTATGAGGAATACCCTGACTTCGTTCATTCTCAGGTTGACATGGCTTCTGAAGATGATGATTTGTTGTACAAACGCAATGTGGAAAATGACATCGAAATTGGATCGGACATGAATGAAGCCAAAAATGATAGAGTAGCGATGAGCGTAGGGGAGGTGGGAGACTACAACTTGGATTACCATCATCTGAGGAGTTATTATTGGCTTGTTCTTCAGACGAAGAGGATGGTTATTGCTTTCCAGAAATTTTTGTTGAGACAGATATGAGAAATCCGCAGTTTGAGGTTGGACAACTCTTTCGGTCAATGGAAGAGTTTCTGATTGCAGTGAGAAACTATGGCTCTCTAAATGGTTACAATGTGAAGTTAAAGTGTAATGATAGAAAACGAGTTCAAGGAGTTTGCAAATTGGGGTGTAATTGGAGGAGGGCCTCGAAGTTGAGTACAACAGATACAGTGCAAGTGAAGTCTTACAGGAATGGTTCAATGCTGAATTAGAAATAGTTGATTCAAATAGCAACGTAGCAGTTAACGAATATGTGAGTAAACATAATGGTTTAGCTACTGCATTTCTTATTTAAAGTGAATAAATATAAAATCCTTTTAGCTACTGTATTTCTTATTTAAAGTGAATAATGATTTTTATTGGACTACAGGGTAAAATTGTGTCGTCAAGAGGTCAGGTGCGTCATCCACTCAAAACCCAAATGAAGAAGAGTCCATGCATTTCGTTTCGACCCCCATGGTTGCTAGACAAACACACACGAGTGGTGGAGGAAATGATTGGCTGTTGTGATTTGTATTCAGCCTAATTTTTATTTTTTTGGTTATCGAAAGTAAATTGACGTTGTGGTATCTTTTGTGATAGAACGAGCTAGGAATTGATTTTTTTTTTATGCTTTTGAAGGGAATTGTAAGGAACTTTTGCGATAGATATTTTGTATGTCAATCTTCTATGTAAATCGATTTATTGTTATGCTCTTTAATGGAATTGATTCCCTAGGTTGTAATGACATATTAGCATTACAGTTTTACCATTCCTCATGCTCAATGAAAAGGTATAAATATGTAAATTAATAAAATGAATACCAGTCTGTTAAAAAAAAAAACAGCTCAAGAATTTCATAACGCAATAAACCTCCAATTCTTACATAAAAAGTCTTACATCCAAGTCTGCAACATACGTAATGCACTACAAGTTCAAAGACGATTACATAAACATAGATTTTGACGAATACAATAGCAATCTTCAACTCTATCACATAGTTGCAACAAAGTCACTGAACTTTCCCCTTTCCTTTCCCATTATCCTCCGTAACCCCCTTTCCTTTGCTCATGGTAATGTTGATTGATCTCGATGAATTTTTTCTTCAGTTATTTGAGCACATGTGTTGAACATACACGATAGATCTTGGCAAGGATCTTTAGCTTTACAATTACCCGAACAAACATAACTCGCTTTCGCAATAGACCATTCTTCATTCTTCCACTCAAAGTGACCACAATCCCTAGTACAACATAAGAACAACCTCCCTATGTTTGAAGTATTTTTCTCCACCTCTATACATTTCTCAAATCCCTACCACATTTTGGGCATCGTTTCTTTGATGGGCAGTTCGACAAGTAGTGCCCGGGCTTCCTACAACTGTGACATATGTCCATGTTATTCCCAACCATAATGCTTCAAATTTGGGATAAATGTCAACTATAACAATCAAACTACAAATAAGTTAATCTTTTAGCAAATAAAGTCCCAATCTTCTAGTCCAAATTGATATGAGAACTTCAAGAACCTTACCCAGGCAAATAGATACACAAGAACCTTACCCAAGCTTCCTCGTTTAACTAAGAGTGGAATGGACAAGACAATAACACATAAACAGGCCTTATCCTTGACACAAACAATTCCTAAATATATTGCATAGCTCTTATTCAAGTTCAAACAACACATTTATGTCTTAACATTACAAAAGACAATGAAGTATATTAAGATTTCAGAGTTCTGTAAGCAGTGCAACAGAACCCTACATAAAGCACACACAAACAACAAAAGCATAAATGCAAGCAAAGTATAATGCAGGTTACATTCTCTCCTGTACATGCTTCACGGTTTCATTAAAAACTAAAAGATGCCCCCATTTTAATAAAAAACCACAGCACCAAGCAAGAACCATGTAAGCAATGTCTGAACCATATAAACAAGGTTTCAGACTAAGGTAACCACATATCAATTCATTTAGACAAATCAACATACACTTTACCTGTTCAGACCTCCAATCCCTAAAAATAGACCCATAAGCCGCATCATTTCATGTTTAAACACAAGCCCATGGAACCATAAACCGCATCAAACCAGGCTGACTATCCATTGACAAATTCTCATTCAAACTAATACATGGAAATTCAGGGCATTACCTCTTTCGTGTTTTGACGTGGTTCACCTTTCGAGATGTGGGTTCGTATGGGTCTGGTGTTACTTGGAGGAACGGAACGAAATCGAACAAACACCTGGGTCTGGTGTTACTTGGAGGATGACGAACTTCAGCTAATCTCAAATTTTGGAACAATCGAATTGGGGGAGATTGTTGAAGGAATTGGTTTAGGCTTCGCGATTTCAAAATTAGGGAAAATGGGTAGGTTGATTTGAAATTTGAAGGTTTTAAGTTTATCCAGAAGCTGAAGACAGGAAAAGGGAATTACGTGGCTGGAGTTTTCACGCCGTCTCTTGCTACCGGGGACGCCGTTATGCCAGCTCAGACGACCTTCAAACAAATGTTCTTGGAGTGACGGATGGAGCTCACTTCGTGTGAGTTCAGTTAGCGTTCAGACGCAAAATGAAGTTCAGTGACTATAACATGACAGTGGGTAAAGTTTAGTGAGTAATGAAACTTTTTACTCGCACATGACATGAGGGCAATCACCTCACACGGTTTCACAACGTGTTGAGATGAGGCAATATAATCTTGTAATTTGAAGATCATGTAACATATCCTGAACCAAGATGAGGTTCTGAAAGTCTAAATGGATAGCCATATCAAATTATTGATTGAGAATACGACTAAAGTACATCCTATGAGACGACGTCGACTACATAGCATGTGTTTCATACATGTCTTGACGATCATACAATATATATACCAGTCACAATATTTCCAAATTGGGTCGGGGATAACATTTTATTTAAATTTATTGTAACTCCCTAATACCATATATTGAAGATCCAAAATTCGTGCTTAAAAATGCACCTCATTAAAGTTGTCCTTGAGCGGTGAAATATACTACTTCCATTCTAATTGAGTTTTAGATTATCGGTATTAGAAAAAAATACCGATGTTTGCAGCACTTGGCCTTTCGTCTATTTAGTTGACGACGTCCCTCCATAGAAGGATTTGATCCAAAGAGGAACGACATATAATGCAGAGTTGCTAGATACAAAATTATGGTTAAAAACTGAGTCACATATGATGCTGAGTTGAATTAGTGAGCATTGCACTGCTGTAATAGAGGATGACTATAATCCACATATTTATCCCAAAGGGGTTTATACTTTTCCATCCCAATCTTTAACCACGGTTTCGAATTCCCATTATAATGCAGCACAACACCCTTCTTGATCAACTGAGGATCGACATCTGTGTATCCGAGACCTAACACATGCCACGATGGATTTAATGGCTCTGTCAATCCGTAGAAAGTTAACAATCCCGGAGGCAGGGTGCCAAGTTTCCATAAGGTCCTGTCCACATTCTTTTCCTGCCAATAGCCTGTGACACTCCTTTTCCTCCACTGGAACAAGTCAAAAACATTCATCTCGTATGCCCACCCACATGCATCAGGGTCGAAATGTTCACGAATAAGAGGGAGAGAGAAATTCAAGTACGTGTGGTATCTAACTATCTATGAAATATCACCCTGCATGTCTCGACTGCACCATTAACATTTCCATTCAGATCTATGGAGAACAGAGATGACGGATCCTTCTGAACTACAACGTCATCATCAAGAAAAACTACTTTCTCCGCTGCAGGAAAAACTTCAGGAATATAGAACCTGAGGTGGTTAAGCATGGATAAATATTTAGGATTCCAGAACTTGAGTGGAGTATGGTCATCACCACCACTACCAGAAAAATAGTAGTTTTGGGTGTCCGAGTCTTGAAGTTGCTTAAGAACGGGAACATAAGAGGCATTCAACCAGCTAAAGTCTTCCTATCTTTTGAACATCCACCGTCACTCCCTGGAAACTGTTCGTAGTGAACCACGCCTTCATTGCAACAAAATTTACCTCATCAGTTACGATATGGAACACTACATTCTCGGGATTTTTGGAATTACGCGCTGTTGAATTTACCACGACTGAAGTTGCAAGGACGTTGTTGGAGAAGATGCAGAAATGATAGAGGTTATTATCTTGGAGTTTTATAGCAGTTTGCCTTCTCTCCTCGAGTTTTCTCTGTAAATTTGAGTTCTTGAACCATTCAGTGGTTAACCGAACACCAAGGCAATACAAACTCTTAGGAACTTCTTCAGCAGCTATTTGTCCATTCTTTGAACTCTTCTCATTAATAGAATTTATTTGTTCTTCAAGAACCTGGATCTTTTCTTTCAGTCCCATGATCATGCTTGCACTGTCATAGTGGAGTTGTTGGGCTTGGAAGAGCAACAGTGCCATATCACGAATTGCAGTTTCTGATTCACTTGTTGTCAAAGGTATTCTTCGTAAAGCAGCATTGGAGAGTGCGGATTTGAGCACTAAGTTCCCATGCAAATTGGAGGTTGTTGCTTTCTTTAGAAATTACAAGAAATGCCTTTGCTATAGAAATTTGATCATTCAATTGCCTAGCTACAGAATCAGGACTCAACATTTCATCAATGATATTAAGGCCTTTTCTAATTTTCTCATGTCTATAGGATCTCTGCAAGGCATAAAAAGCAGAAATAAATCCTCTCATTTTGCACTAGCAAGGTTAGAATGATTCGACGAGGAAATAACACAAGGAATGATGAACTACACAAAAGCAACAATAAGATCATTAATTTCCAAAAACATATTTCATTAGCAAAAAACAGTCAAATAATGTCACTTACGAGGCCATTCAAATCAAACAAAAATGAATGTATGGTTCACATTTACACGAGTGCAAATTTGACAAAGATCCTCGACTACAGACCCTCAATCCATCCGCATGAATAAAAGTAGTTACTTGAAATACTAACTGCATGTTTGGTAAGTGATTAAATTAAAATTTAAGTAATTATAAATTGTGGATCCTATGAAATATGTAGATAACGATAATAGTCGTTGGTCCTATGAGAGTATTTTTTGACCAATTATAATCAATTTCCAAACATGTTGTAAGATTGGCATGCCACCTTGACAAAATGCTAAGACAAGGACTTTTAAATGGAACATAGCACCAGAGTACACTAGGAGGAGTTCTTGGCACTAAACCTTTCATGCCTAAAGCCATCCTAATACCATATACATCATTAAGCATCTGCAAGAGAACATCTTGCCTAGTTTCCCAAAAATTCCTACTCTCCCAGTCATTAGTCGTGTCTATTTTGATATAAGTTGATGAACCGTGTGGTTGAAAAGTTGATAAAAGTTGTAGATTTACGGAAATGTGTGGTTAATATTGATTATTAACATTGGCCTTAACATTTTAGCAACTTTTTCAGCTTTCCCATACAAGAACTTAAGAAAGCTTACGATAATTATTTCATTTACATTATTACATATTTTTCTGACATCTATTCATCGTTGAATATTCTTATACTACACTAAAAGAACAAACTTGTACTTGTCCTAATATTCACATATTTTCCTTAACACCATCATATCATATTCAAAAAGAAATAATCAGAGATTGTAAATTCATGGAACCCTCACAACCTATGACATGGATCACCATTCATGGAATAAGATCAAGACCACAATTTAATACATAGACTAAATTGGTTCCCTAACGAATAGGATTCTTCATATTATAACCAGATAAATTTTCGTCAAAACTTTAATGATGCTATTATATTTCCTAGATGAAGAAAATTCGTAATTTGAATTATCAATACTGCAAATGGAGTGCCACCAATATTAACCACATCTGGAGTCAAATTTGCACGAGTCCCTTCTTTGAGGGAAAAGTAGTTGAGAACGTAGCATCGAAAAAGGAAACTCCTAGACAGTTTACTGAATTTACTAGAAATTTCATTTAGGATTATATATCATTACTATCCTATAATCTAATATAAACTATTACTCCAACTTAAAACAACAAATAAAAGTCAATCGACATTCCTCTCCAATCAACAAGAATCCCGTATTCATATATTAAACAGTTTGCAGAACTGAAACCCCAGCACCAGTGTATTCATATCTTGACGTGGGTTTTTAATTTTTATTGAGGAGAAGTGGGAAATGTACAGTGCAGTTATAGAAGAAGAAGCGGGACAACTGGGATATGGAACTGGACAGGAGGATCTGGAATACAGGCAGTTAATTATATTGTTATCGGTTGTGAGTGTGTTGCTGGCACAAAATAATACAACAAAATTTCAGCTAAAATAATCTGGTAAATATTTGTAAAATTCGGTTTTTGCTTCAAGTAAAAAAAAATTGTGCAAATTTTGTCATTTGTTTACTAATGTTTCAAGTTCACAATTAAGACTTCAAATAAATTTTTAGGTAACTATTGGAAACAAGCAAAGGCTATAAACTCAAAAGCTAATGAATAAATTGAAGTTTAATATTAGAGAAACAGATCTTCATCCAAATAGACATAGGTCCCTATACAACAATCGTCAAGGCCTGCTGTCTGCAAAATAACAAGACAGGAGGCAAGCCCTTTGCATATATTACCCTTCCACCATCAAAGGACAGATGAACTTTTCTTGGGGCATAAAATGCTGGAAAGTGCAGTGTTGAGGCCTCAGTATGTCACGTCGGTGGGTTAATTCTTGCGAATGAAATGTAAAAGTAATGTTGCCAAACCATTTACCTTAACTAATCTTTGATAACCCACCTACGGCCATGAATTTGATAACCTCCAAAGGTCTGATCACTGCTACTCTCTCCACCACTTTCAGCACTGGTATACCCTGATTTTCGACGATGCTTCTTTCTCCTTGAACTGACACTGTCGCTGAGACTTCCATTTAAGAGAGGATCATCTATTCCTCGGATCACTCTGTGTGTTGGTAAAGTCTTAGCTATGCAACCGTCATCCTTTGTTCTCCTACTCTTGTCATGCCTCTTTATGTTCTGAGAGATGTTGTGCAATTTCTGATTGAACTTGTTGATTCCTTTCTCCACAGGTTCTACTGCTAGAGTGACTGTAAACTTCAAATCATTTACAATCTGTGTTCAATGTGTCGATAAAGGTCAACACAAGAAAATTAGTTAAAACATGATTGTAAAAGATGATATTGAGGAAATGCTTGAATGAATCTTCAGTTGCAGGACACAAGACAATCAAAGAAAACAGTCAAGGACTTTTTTAATCAATGTGAAGGGCTAAAAGAAAAAATAGACAGAACCCCTTTCTCCTCCTTGTTAGCCAAGCGCTAACTTCACTAACCCCACCAAGTGACTAACTTCTGAACGAGCATAACCTCATTAGTAAAAATATGTAAACAAATGAAACAGCATCCTGGGAGAGGAGGATAAATGTTGGTCGTTTTGTGAAGCCTTATTCTGGGGAAGCATTAGGTCAGATACTAACCCTCTTCAGAATGTCAAGATGATTAACCAATCAAACCAGATACAGGATAACCGCTTTAGACCGAATGACTAGGTGAGCGTGGTCTTGATCATACTAACTTTTTTTCTTTCTTTTAATGCATAAAACCCCGCAATAACTGATCTATGGAGTTAATCTTATGCCCAGATGATATTCAGAAGTCAACGAGTGAGTTATTTTGCATTGGAGAAAGTTCATCCATATGAAACCACTAGGCATCAACACAACTTTTTAAATTACACCATATAGTATCTAGTGAGAAATCGTGGAAGCCATGACAAGTTGATTATACCTACACATTTTAAGGATCCTCAAGTCAATTGGTCAATCTGAGATCTCTAAGATATCAAGATCTCAATCTGAAATACTTATTCCACGAAATGCAAGTGATGGCAAGCCTCATCATTATTCACCACCACCTCAACAAGAAAAAAGAGAGAAAAAATTAAACAACAAAAATTCCATTCCGAACTTTACAAATATTTCTTTCTTCTAAATGTACTTAATATGAAAAGGAAAAATAGACAGATATGATGATAGTTTAAACAGAAACAACAGTTCAAAGCTATAAGGACAAACTGGCTCAACGAATGAGTGAAAGAAGATGACTTACATATTCACCCCCGCCGACGAAGACGTCCCGTACACTTTCTCTGATGGTCATTCCACTCCTAATATCAAAATCAGGTTGAGGAAGACGTACTTTTGTGGGACGCTCACTGTCCCTAACCTCATCAGGATCTAGAGGGCAATCTACAGATGCATAATCTCCAAGAACTGAAACTCTTCCAGAAAAGTGATCCCCCATTAACTCATAGGGCTTTGCAGGAAACACATATAGGTGAACCACAGAAGCAATTCCCATCTGTGCTGGATGTATAAATAAACCTGTTAATCTCAAATATTTTACATGAGAAATTCAGAATAAATTAAATTGTTGGCACATGATATATAACAATCATTAACAATTGTCAAGAATCCTTCTTTCCCGGTTCAATTTAATACTTCATAAATTTACAATAGAAAGAGGGTAGCATATCTAAGTATACAGGCCAATCTTGTATAGATTCCCCCTCTTTCTGTACTTCAAATCCCTCAGAAGCTTAGAATCCTTTCTATCCTCAAACTGGATTTACTTTTTGTTTCTTATCCTCCCTGATTCCTCCCCATAAAATCCTGTAATTTTCTTCTAATGCCACAAACTTCCTTGCACTATTCTCAAATCCCTAACTCATTATCCTAATCATTATCAAACTCATCTAATTCTTTCACAAGTCAGACAAACTTATCCTACATTACTTTCACAGTACTGATACTTCCCCTTTCAAATCAGTGGACTCTAGTGCGATTTCCCAAAAATCCTAACCCATTCTTGAAAGGAAGGAAAATAATTATTTTATTGTAGTCAAAAACTATTATATGTGTACATATATACTATATGTAGAGATTATTATGAACAGAGAATAATATTTCACTTAAATTAAAACAGAGATTTTTTATCTAAAATATTGAAGTGTTATTTTAGTATCATGTATATGTACAGCATATTTTGTACGACAAACAATACTCCATTGTAATTAAAATAGAGTATTTTTTATTTCCTCTGAGAACATGAATTCTTCCAAAAAATCAAGTACTATTTTATAACATTATAGTGTTTATTTTGTATGCAACAGCAGAGAAGTTTTAATAAAATTGGAAGCTGATTAGTTTTATTAGTTTTTACTAATTTTAACAATAAATAATGCAGAAAAGTTAAAGATAAATGTGAAAGTTTCTATAATTAATATCAAAAATATAATAACACTAATAGTATAGATTTCATTAGAATTGCCTCATATGTACCATCGATATTATGATTACAATTGAAACTTAAATGCAATAACATGTAGGGGTGGGCAAAACCCGACTGAACCCGTCCAAATCGAACCAGCCCGACCGGTTTGGGTTGATTTTTTTGTTTTTTTTACACAGGTCAGGTCGGGTCACGAGTTAACTCATGAAAACCGAATAAACTCACTCAACCCACTATATTTATGAACTTTACAAGTGTTATGATGTTGTTGGGATGAAATTGAGTCACTCTGTTTCTTCATAGAACCTCCAAGAGCTATAATATTCAGAAAAATCTAGATTAAAATGTCAGTTCTTGTTGCGAAAATTTTGTGCAATAGTTGAAAAGTTTGAGGAAACCATACACAAATTATATACTATTAATTAACTAGGTTCTATATATGCAAACGCAATACACGAGAAGTCTTGAATATGGCACAAGACATGAAAACTCTTAAAATAATATTGTAAGACTTGGATAGAATGCATTTTACGAAAAATAGTATAAGCAAATACACATTCAACACAAAAACATTTATTGGCTTCATATAATTTAATATCAATCTGTCCATGTAACATTTCCGGGCATGAGGTGCGAAAATAATTCAGATTTTTTGGTCATTGCAACTACAGAGACCTAATGTTATATAAGTCATGAGTCAATTATAAATTCGACTCGACTCGACCCGACCCGACCCAACCGATACTTGATTGGGTTGGGTTGTGTTTCAACATTTACATGGGTTGGTTTGGATTAAATTATGATCAAAATGATTATATTAGCTTGGGTTTAGGTCGAGACAAAAACTAGCTCAATCCACCCCTAATAACATGTATAAAAGATGCAATACAAATTAATAATATAAAAAAAAACACACAAACACACACACATCTAAAAAGAATTGTAAATGAGTTGTATTCTTAATCCCAATCTTTTATTTACATTCGCATTGTGATAATATGAGCTAACATCTAATATTCGTCATTCTCGTATCTCTAGATAAATTCATCTTCAAGTTTTGACGGTAAAAAATCGTATCAAATATATATGTGATACATACTGAATTTTCCAGTACAGAATTTCACCAAGATCCAACCATCTCCATCCCACAGTTTTATATACATGATATGGCATGTGCAAGCGTGTGAATCAATTAATTAAATATCATAAGTGGTGTCAAGCATATAATTTGTGAGGTTAATCATATATGCATCTACTTAACCACTGTCCTTTGACCAAATAAAATAACCTTTACAGCTTCCGCTAAATCAAATACATGAAAAAATAAAATAAAAATTCAATGCAACCATGCAGGGATTGAATTGTAGATTCCTTTTCTCTTTCTTTGACTTTAACCCATTTTTTCTAATTAACAGTTGCTATCACGATTTTCCCTGCAACCAAACAAAAAACCTAAACTCTGAAGAGGCAATTTCAGTCTTGAAACTTGTCTCCTTTTCTTTTTCATTAAACACCAGAAGAAGCATGTTTAAGTCCTCCATCTGTTTCTTTACCAATAGGAAGTAGAGACCTACTTCCTAGTCTTTCCACTATCTATGGCACAATTGCCAATTGCTGGAAAAGGATAATTTACCAGAATGAACTAACTTTATGATAAAAACCAACCTTCAGTTGAAATCTGGATGTCTAAAGGTCACGGGTGCTTATTAGCCAGCAGTCCATATCCAACCCACCCACAACACCCCCCCCCCCCCCCCCCCCCCCCCCCCCCCCCCCCCCCCCCCCCCCCCCCCCCCCCCCCCCCCCCCCCCCCCCCCCCCCCCCCCCCCCCCCCCCCC